TTTTTTTTAAATAAACTCATTTTACAACTCCCTGTAAAGTTAAACAGTCAAGTTTTACCACATTTTCAATCCATTCATTCGATTGGTGGGAGCACTTTTAGCCTAGCTTAGCATAGATCATTGAATCAGATTAGACCATTAGCATCTCACGCAAAAATGACAAGAGTTTCACTTTTTTTTATTTATTTAAAGCTTGACCTCTGTAGTTACATTATGTACTTATAGGACAGAAAATGAAAAGTTGCTATTTTGTTGGCCAATATGACTAGGAACTATGCTTTTATTTTGGCGTAATAATCAAGGAACATTGCTGCTGTACCATGGCTGCAGCAGCCGCAGTGAAAGCATGCAACGCTTGAAAATGTTTCCCACTTAGGTAACTTACAACGTGACCTTCTGTAGTTACACTGTGTACTGAAAAGGACGAAAAATGAAAAGCTGCTATTTTGTAGGCCAGTATGACTAGGAACTACAATTTATTCCAGCATACTAATCAACGAACTTTTCTGTAGTACCATGCCTGCAGCAGGAGCAATACAATTATGCAAATAAATATTTACCAGCTAGATTCAACTTTCAACGTGACCGGCACACACTCCTTGTACAAACGGGTGGTCATCTTGGTTATAGTGATGAAAGATTTTCAGTTGTGTTTTTTTCTCATTTAGACTTCAACAATTATTTTGAAGTGAAGATGGACAATGTAAATAATATGCAGAAGCCTGCTAGAGTATTAGTAGTAGCTTTAAAGAGATTAGTTATTTTTTTTTTTTTTTTTTTTTACAGTTGATGTCAGAATTATTAGCTCCCCTTAGATTTTTTATTTTTTTTATTTTTCAAATATTTCCCTAATGATGTTTAACAGAGCAAGGACATTTTCACAGTGTGTCTGATAATATTTTTTTCTTCTGGAGAAGTCTTATTTGTTTTATTTCAGCTAGAATAAAAGAAGTTTGTAATTAAAAAAAAAACATTTTAAGGTTAAAATTATTAGCTATTTTTAAATTATAAATGATTAAGGTATTTTTTTTTTCGATAGTCTACAGAACAAACCACTGATATACAGTAACTTGCCTAATTACCATAACCTGCCTAGTTAATTTAATTAACCTAGTTAAGCCTTTAAATATCACTTTAAGGTGTATAAAACTGTCCTAAAAATATTTAGTAAAATATTTTTTACTGTCATCATGGTAAAGATAAAAGAAATCAGTTATTAGAAATGAGTTATTATGTTTAGAAATTTGTTGATGTATATCTATATATCAACACACACACACACACACACACATACACACACACACACACACATGTAAGAGGCTAAATTATCATATGCATTTGTTTATATGACAAAACATGCTTTTTGACTCAAGAAGGTCCATACTGACTACAAAAGCAGATACTGATAAGATCAGGGCCTGTTGTGTGGACTTTGGGGGTTTATGGTGTGGTCACATGTTGATTGGTCAGTTTGAATGTCTTGAATGGCTTTAGTCACATGGTCAAGAAAGATACAAGATAGGTGGTAAACTCGAGCTCTGCCCCTTTTCCTGCCCTCTCTCCTGCTCTGCTCCTCTCCTTCTCTGGAGTCTATCTTCTCTGACTCTACTGCAATCAGGCTTTTGGGCCTTCTCTCTTTGTCTCTCCCTCCCTCCGTGTCTCTCTTTCTACCTCTGGTAACTTTAATTTTACATTTAAGCTGGGTACAATTTATACCATATGTTTTATCATTTCATATTTTATCATTTTATACAGTATTTTGTTATTAATTCAGTTGTAACCAGAGAGATTTATTGTCATTAAATCATCTCATTTTCAAGTATTTGTGAATTACTTTTGATTTACCATCAACATTTAATTGTTCCATATTGCAATACAGTACAATCACATAATATCAACGCTCTCCCGCAATTATAGCTATTAATACTGCCCTTATTTCCGTTTTTGGTATGAGACTGCAGACGAATGGTTTGACTAGAAATGTACATATTTTTTACCATCATGCTGATTACTTTTATATATATAATTAAATAATAATAATTTTAATTTAAATAATGTGTGCTTTGATTTCAGTCCCTTGAAATATTTAACAATTAACCATAAATAGTTTAAAATATTTTTAGTATGTTTATAGTTCAAACCTTGACGTATGAAGGTAAAAATTATTTGTTTAATAATTAAATTCAATGTAAAGTCTTTGGTAAATTGAGTTTATTAGTATTTTTTGTACTCATAGACAATACATACTAAATACACACTGTGATTTGATCTAGTTTAGAGCACAACTTTTGATTAATTAATCCAGTATTTAACAAGTTTTGTGATGCTCAACATTATACTGCTAATTATCTATTATCTGGATTCTGCATTTGCTTGTGTTTTGTTCATCATGGAAATCATTGGACCTTATACAGTATATTATGAATACTTGGGTACAAGATGAATTCATGTTTATGTAATTTCCATAAATTTATGAGGGTCATGTATTATACTGCAAAGTGACCTTTAGACTTTACCTGCATATTGGAAACGGACACTCCATCATGCTAGAGTTAGCAAAGTTATTCACACCATTTTTTTCATCCTCTTAATTTTATGAACAGGTTAGGCCTAGCTGAAAGTTTTATTTGATTAATGCAGTCTCTAATATGTATAAACATACAGTACTGAAGCATTCTTACATTTACATTAAAATCAACCCCCTAAAGGATTTTATCCATTGGAGTCTGATACATATGAGTATATATGGGCACACTTTCCAACTGTAACCTCAGTAAAATGTCACTGTTGAGTTGAAGGACAATGGAGATTGACAGAGACAGTGGTGCATTATGATACATTATGCATTGTATTTTATTCTGCTAGAGGACAAACCTGGAGGACATGCTATATACTGAATTTAAAACAAATAAACAAAACAAATGTGGGCAAAATGTTTATTTCGTGCGGTTTTTAAAGGAATATCTGTCATTCATATCAGTTTTTCCAAACATATGGGTTTTCTTTTTTGTGAGCTAGAAAAAAAATGCACTAGGCAATGTGAACAAATCATTATATTTACAGCATTTATAAATAAATGTCACAAATACACTGTCAATCATTGGTGTTTGTTTGTAATAAATGAATATTAATTTAGACATTAAAATGCTTAAGTATATGAATTCATTAGATATTTATAATCAATATTAATAAATGATATCAGTGTTAGCTCATAACACAATATTTAAACATTTGAGAAAATAATAAATAGTTTTGATTGATGCAGTGAGAATCTTTTAAGTGTCATTAAGTAACTACATTAATTAATAGGTTGTCATGGATTTAAATTTTTATCCTTGTCCCAAAGTTGTATTATATTGTTTTGTTTTGTTTTTTTTCTCTAAAAATGGTGGCTTAAAAAGGCCAACATACTATTATACTACTTTTTTTTTTACACTTCCATTTCCTTCTGAGACTCATTTCTATATCCATCTTCTCCTAGACCGTTCATACTACAACCACCAAACTAACTCTAAACCTCCAAACTGCTCTGACTTGGGTTGCTATATCTTTTCCAACGGATCCGACTTACGGTTTTCCGAAAACTGACCTGGAAAATTTGGAAAAGTCCCATGACTTAACATTGGACAAAAATTGTTTTGACCTCATAACTTGCCTTAAGTTATGACAACTTGTTATACAGTTATGACAGAATTATGGTTACACAAATTTAACTCAGACTATCAATGCCAATCACTGATGACCTTTCAACTTACTAGCCACACCCTAGCAACCATTTACGGCACATTAGCAACTGTCACATAGACTTCCGATGTAAAAAAAAAAAAAAAACTGCCATTGACTTTTCATTGGACATACTAACAACATACTAATTCATACTAAAAACATACCAACAAACATGCTAACATACTAATAATACTAGAAAAATAGTAACAATATACCAATTTATGCTAAAAACTTACTAACAAACATACTAATCGTACTAGCAACATGCTAATTCATACTAGAACCATGTTAATTTATGTTAGCAACTGTCTAGCAACCACTCAGAACACATTGGCAACATCCTGGCAACACCTTAGCAACTGCCTAGCAACAACTTAGCAACCACCTAGCAACACTTTAGCAACCAGCTAGCAACACCTTAGCAATCACCTAGCAACACCTTAGCAACCTCTCAGAACACCTTGGCAACCATCAAGTAACCCCTTAGCAACCACATATAACAACCAGGCAACCATCTAGCAGAGCCTTAGCAACCACTTAGCAAATGATCTAGAACACCTTAGCAACCACCTAGCAACCTCTTACCTACCACCTAACAATAACCACCTAGAACACTCTAGCAACCACTTAGCAACACCTTAGCAACCACCTAGAACACCCTATCAACCAATCAGAATACCTTAGCAACCGCCTAACAACACCTTAACTACCACCTAGCAAGACCTTAGCAACACTTTAGCAACCACCAAGCAACACCTTAGCAACCACCCAGCAACCTTCTAGCAACACCTTAGCAACCACATAGAACAACTAGGCAACCACATAGCAACGCCTTAGCAACCACCTAGCAATGAGTAGGACACCTTAGCAACCACCTAGCAACCATTCAGAACACCTTAGCAACAACCTAGCAACACCTTAGTAACCACCTAAACTCTCTAACAACCACTAATTATTTGGTTGTTTGCTTTTTTTTTCATTTTAGTCATTGCATTTTCAGATTCAGCTAAATAAAGTGAGGAATAAATATTCTTTTCTCGGTTAACAAGCGTGGTTTTAGTTTTATGTTTCAAATACTATCTGAAACAATAACTCCATTGTTGTGAGACTGAGACTGGACTTTTATGCGGCATATCTACCATGCTGCGTGTGAATATGACAACCTGACTGTTCCCCAAGGAGTGATGAGATGTGGGTTTACAGTCAGTCACCTAATCAGGGAATTTGGTCTCACTGGTGGGATTTCTCATCATGGTCTCTCTGTTCTCTGACAGGCCCCTGTGGAAAGGCAGATGTTGTGGAGCAGTGTGCTCTGCCTGACCCGTCCCCAGTTGTGGTGCTTCGGCTGACGGAGGCTCTGGAGAGACTAGGTGAGTTTGCTCCTCTACCTCACCCAATTGAACTACTCAAAGAGAGTCAAACACTAGTTGTGCACTTAAGTGGGTCTCTAATGATGCAATTGACAGCTTCTCGTAACTGTAGAGATGGGATTTGTTTAAATTTTGCTTTAAAGACAAACTAAATATACAGTTGAAGTCAGACTTATTAGATGTGTTGAAAAAAACTTCCTGTTAAACAGAAAAAAAGAGGAAAAAAAGTAAATCAGGGGGGCTAATAATTTTGGCTTCAACTGTATGTAGTTTACTATATATATAGAATTTCCAAGTATAGTAGTGCATGTTATTTACAAGTATAAAAGCAACTCTTAAAGGCATTGTTTACCCTAAAATGAAAATTCATTGTATCATTTATTCATCCATACACTTAATTATTGATTCCCATTATATTTGGCTTAGCTACAGTACTATGAAAGTCAATGGTTACAGGTTTTCAACTTTATTCAAAATATCCTCTTTTGTGTTCAGCAGAATAAAAAACTAATAAAGATTTAGCACTACTTGAGGGTGTATAGATAGTGGGTGAATTTACATTTTTGGGTAAACTATCTCTTTAATCACTTACAATAGTATATGTCTCTTATATCAGCAAATGTAGCATGTACAGCTGTTTTTATATACAGTAAAGCTACATTGCATGAATATGTATGCGATATTGTGTTTTTACAACGGTTAGATGGCACAAGTGTGTAAATACCAACTAAAATGTTTCTTGAGAATCGTTTTAAGTGTAGAAATACCTTCTTCTCCTTGGATTTAAATCTCAAGTTGATATTCTGACAGCTGAGCAAAAGTCTGTGCGTATAATCAAAAAAACAAAACAAAAAAAAAACTAGTAGCTACGTAGTTTTGAGTTTCTTTAATGCATTATGTAGAGCAGGGGTTCTCAATATATATATATATATATATATATATATATATATATATATATATATATATATATATATATATATATATGTATGTATGTATGTATGTATGTATGTATGTATGTATGTATGTATGTATGTATATATATATATATATATATATATATATATGTGTGTGTGTGTGTGTGTATACTTCTATTATAAATAAATTAATTTAATTATACATTTTATTTAAATTTTATTATATATATATATATATATATATATATATATATATATATAATTTTATAATTATATATATATTTTTAAACAAACAGATTCAAAGAGCACCACAGGTCAACAGGGAGTTTGCAAAAGACTTCGGCTTTAAACTAGACTGTTTGAATATCTACTATTAAGTTTCTAATCTGATGGCGATTGAGTTTGCAGCTAAATATTATTAAGAGATCGCTGACAGGAACAGTGAACAACTCCACCAGCGTTTCTGTAGCTCATATGGAAGGTTATTTTACATTCTATGGCAGAAACACCATTGAGCTTCGCTAGATCCTCCTGCATGGGCGTGCGTCCGTTATAATAAAACACTAACAGGATATTAATTTGGAAAACTGTGGCTATTAAATAGATACTTTCACTTGACGCACTGTGTGAATGAACAGACATGTACTAGTTGCAGACGCAGGGGCGAACTGAGACTAAAAATCAGCCCTTGCTCTGTAGCCACACCAGCCCACGTTACCACACCGACACAGCCCCACCCACGGACACACACATTCACTACTTATATTGGTGTACAGATGGTAAAATTATATAAGCAGTAACATATTTAAGAGATATTTTACCATTTAATGTATGTGACTAAAACAAAAACAACCCATTTATATATGCAATCATGTCATTCATTTTTTTTTTTCGGCTTAGTCCCTTTAACCAACTTATCCAGCATATGTTTTACACAGCGGATGCCTTCAAACCTGCAACCCATTACTGGGTTATCCAATTCCCAATCGGCCTACCCAATTCACCTATAGCATGTGTTTGGACTTGTGAAGGAAACCAGAAGGAAACCCACGCGAACAGGCAAACTCCACACAGAAACACCAACTGACCCAGCTGAGGGAACCTTATTGCTGTGAGGCGACAGTGCTACCCACTGAGCCACTGCACTGTCCCCTTTCGAGACTAGTGCAGTTAATTTGATGTATTTGGCATTGTCTGACTTGACTGCCTTTCCCTTTTTATGGTCCATCTCTATCAATTTGTTGCACTTACTGTGTGTTTGACATCCTTGCCAGATTTTGATTACGTCTGCATAACCTCTGATTGGGTCGGCCCATCTCGAAACCAGCCGGTCGTTGATGATTGGACGAATGCTTAACATTGATTAAGATTCTTACTATTATCATCATCATCATCATAATATTCACATCTTGCAAGAGATAAAAGCTGCTTACATGTAAAAAACAATACATATGAAAAAAAAAAAAAAAAATAGCTGACCGGCCCACATTTAAAAAATGGTCCGGCCCTTCTGGCATTTGACAGAATTGCCAGCTGGCCAGTCCGCCCCTGTGCAGATGCAATCATGAGACTGTTTTTCCGCTGAGTTTTAATTAATTAATGAGAGAACAGGAAAAAGTGCATTACTTCGATAATTTTAATATCGTAACATATTATAATGAAATCCAAAAATTGTAGTATAATATTGAGACTTAATTTTAATTTCTCACAGCCCACCGGTTGCGAATCCCTTATGTAGAGTTGCAATGTATTAGTAATGACAAATCAGAGAATTTTGCTCGCTGGGACATTTTTTTTAGGATTATAACACTGAATGGAGGAAAACAAACTCAGAAAATCAATTAGTTCTTTTTAAATTACCCCATCCAGGAAATCAACAATTAGAGAAAGAAAACATAAACTGGAAGAGTGCAATTTACCTTCATCTCTGTGTTTATTCTTTAAGTCTTATCCTCGAACCAGTCTCACCTTAATGAAGCCTTAGTTTGAATTTCTGCTAAGGAAAACAATGAATAGTTTCAACTTATAAGAGTATTTTTTTTTTTTTACGACAATACTAGTTTTGATCCTTTTTGATAAAAAAAAGTGTCTGTGGTGAAGCTGCTCTCTTTGGTATCATGGATGACTTCCAAATAAGATGATATTCTTATGTATTAACAACTTGTATGGGGTCTAAACAACTATATTCTTACTTTAAAGTCTTTTAAAAATACATTATGTGACACAAAAACAACATTGTTTACCAAACTATAGTGATTTAGTCCTTTGCCATGACACAACGTGAAGACTTCAGAAAGCCAGAGTGAGTTAATCAGTTGCCATAGTGATACTGGTAGAATATTACGTGGCGAGAAAAACCTCTCAGCCAATTAGATTAGAGAACAATAATAAACTCTTGTATGAATCATATTGTATTTTTACAACACAGTTTAATGCTCTTACCATTTACTGCCAGAGTTGTTATTAAAGGTGGATGACATGTACCTAGTTTCTCCATCTGTTCAATTTACTGCAATGTTTCATGATAACACATCAAATTATAAACCTGACATTTGACCTCTGTTCTGTGCTCAAGACTGGGAGAATGAGCCACTGTACCGATCTGGCCAGGCCTCCACTGGACCTCCAGAATTACTTCAGGCTTTGGAAACAGGTCAGTAAAGACATGCTTTTTTGTTCTTTCATAAGTTGATTATTCTGTAAGTTATTAATGCAAATTTCTGAATATTTACTAAATGTTATATTCCACCTATAATATTCATCTAGTTATTGACAACAATTGTATTTCAAAACTGGGCCTGAATTGATTGGTTAACAAAAGGTTGTGTGAGTCTTACGGTGTGTTTATAAGTGTGGCCTCTTGCAAAACCAGAATCTTGTTCAGCAGTTTCACAACACTCAGGATAATTAACTCTGTGAAGCGCATGATGTGACACATGTACCATACACCTGATGACATGAAATATGTAGAGAGCTGGCGCAAATTTACCCTTCAGTCGAAGATGAAGAGATATCGCTATGGGACATATGAACGTAAACCTATTGACAAACAAAGTAAAGCTGCTGATAAAGATCAAAGAGTATAGAAGGCTGTATTAATGAAAGTAGATCTGATGAATTCACAAACAGCTAAAACAGGGAAATATGTGCAAGCTTAGTCATTTAAACACTTTATATGTTAAAGCTTTTATTTATATTTTGTCACCTTGAAATTATAAGGTTCTAACTGCCATTGTTGTCAAAATTGAGTTATTGACATATTTTTATTAAATGACAACTTATTTACATTATGGGACTTTTTTTATAAGTTGTCTACATTTTAAGACTTTTTATTAAAAAAAAAAAAAAAATGTTACACACATACTGATTGCTACAGTATATGGAATGCAAAAACTTTGAAGCTCAATATCTCAAAATCATTCAGAGTGCAGATAGAACCTTATAATTCCAAGGTGACGATTTGTAATAATTAAAACAAAGTTTTAAAGAAAGGAAAGGAAGTTTGCTAAAAATGAAACTACCTATTTAAAACAAGCTGATACTGAATAGAATTATTTCATCAAAATTGTTGCTAACTATTTATATGGGCTGAATTTAAACAAACAAATTAAATTTAGAAATGTTTAACTTAATTTTGTTTGTTTAAATTCAGCCCAAAAATTGTTTACAACCACTTAACTTCCAAGGAATCATCTTTGAATAAAAATCTATCTTGAGGTTTTTTTTTTTGGGACAACTTAATTGTTTTATATTCAATCCCCCTAAACATGTAAAAACTATTAAGTTGACTTAATTTATTCTTGTTGTTCCAACATAAGTTGATAGTGTGGATCCCAGCGTGTACTCAATTCTTGGCATAAATCTATAAATTCATTCATTCATTAATTTTTTTTTCGGCTTAGTCCCTTTATTAATCTGGGGTCACAGCGGAATGAACCACCAACTTATCCATCACATTTTTACGCAGTGGATGCCCTTCCAACCGCAACCCATCTCTGGGAAACATCCATACACACTCATTCACACACACACACTCATACATATTTAGCCTACCCAATTCACCTGTACCGCATGTCTTTTCGACTGTGGGGGAAACCGGAGCACCCGGAGAAAACCCACGCGAACACAGGGAGAACATGCAAACTCCACACAGAAATGGCAACTGAGTCGAGGCTCGACCCAGCGACCTTCATGCTGTGAGGTGACAGCAATACCTACTTCACCACTGCATCGCCATAATTCTTTAAATACTATAAATAATTCTATATATATATATATATATATTTTTTTTTTTATTCTTATCGCTTTACTCATTTGTTTTTGTATTTATTGATCCATGAATAAATGTCCATCACTTTCAGTGCTGCCAAGTCCACAGTTTTCCCGCAAAATTTTTTTGCAGGCTAAAATCCCACCTGGCACCACAAATCTAATAACAACCATAATAATCCACCCCATCTCTAACATCTCCCACCTCGTCTGCCCACACTGGTGATTCATCTTCATGTTGGACAGTTTTATATTATAATGTGTTGGACAAGTTCAATGAATAGTGGTGTCACATCAAAAGACAACAAAACTTTTATATTTTATAGTAGTTCCAATAAAATTAAATATGTGAAAAATTCTGAGACAAAAACTTACAGGTTTATGTCAACATCTACAACAAATTGCGTCTTCCTTTAACAATTATTATTTGTGTGTGTGTGTGTGTATGTGTATGTGTGTGTGTGTGTGTGTGTGTGTGTGTGTGTGTGTGTGTGTGTGTGTGTGTGTGTGTGTGTGTGTGTGTGTGTGTGTGTGTGTGTGTGTGCGTCCGTGCGTGTGTGTGTGTGTGTGTGGAATTGCCTATGTGGATGAAACAAATTACTAAAATAGACCCTTTTCACATTTCCCGGTTTCTCAGTAGCAGAAGTTGTCATGGTTAGAAAAACTTAGAGCCCAGTGAATGGGAGAGAGCAACACATTTTTTTTTTTACAATCTTATTTGCTCAAATAATAAAAGAAAAACTCCACGATGATGTTTTAGAGACATATCGAAAAGGAAAATAATTGTGTGACACTGATGACGGCATCCAGAGAAGAGAATAAAGTCAAATTTACTGTCCTGTCCCATAGACACTGCATTAGAAACGCCTCGCAGAGGCGGTAATTATTTTTATTTATTTATTTTTTTGTAATTTGAAGCAAAGATGATATAAAACATACATACATAAATACATATAAATGTTCATTCATTCATTCTCCTTCAGCTTAGCCTCTTTTTTCATCAGGGGTCGCCTCAGCGGAATGAACCACCAACGTATCTAGCATATTCTTTACACAACTGATAGCCTTCCAGCTGAAACCCATCTCTGGAAAACACCCATTCACACTCAGATACACCTGTACAGCATATCTTTGGACTATGGGGAAAACCGGAGCACCCGGAGGAAACCTACGCGAACATGAGGAGAACATGCAAACGCCACACAGAAATGTCAACTAACCTAGCCAGGGCTCAAACCAGCAACCTTCTTGCTGTGAGGCGACTGTGCTACTCCCTTTGCCACCATGTCGCCCTATAAATGTTCATACAATTTTAAAAACTTTCAAGGATTTAAGGTGCTGATGACCATTAAAAGCATTTTAACAGGCTTGTGAAAAGGGTCCATAGCCATTTTAAGATTAGTTCTGATGTATTTATTAATGATATAATGATTTATATATATATGAAGAGCTGTAATATATTGAACTTTGCTTGAAACACCATAGGATTGATTGTTCATAGGAAATTTGGCTCAAATTTTTTTTTTAAATGTAGTAAACAGGAGCTTTTACAAGATGTCCATAGGAGACAAAGAAATGTTGAACCATTTACTACATTTTAAATGACGATACTATTTACATTCATTTTTGTCTAGTGTGAGAATGAAAATGCAGCGTTGTGTTACCGATTAAAACACAAGAACAAGGGAAAAACAGCAATTAATACATAGTGTTCTGAACAGAGCAACTCCTTGTGTTCACTAGTGCAGATTCAGGCCATTGCTGTTAAAAAAAAAAAGTTTTGTGAACTTTAGCTGGAGTTCTTAGTAGCACCACAAGGGAGTGCTCTGGCTCCGTACTTTTTTGGGAGAAGCTGCTTCCAAAAACCTCTGCTCGGCTATTGGATTAGATCAGCCAAATATATGCATAAACACACACACTCACACACACCTCATCACTTTTTTTCCCTCTCTTCTAAAATGATTAGGCAAAGCATGAATTTCCCACAGGAGAAAACTACGTTTATCACTGTGATTCACATTCTGTTGTGGTTTCAGACTGAGACTTTTATTAAGTTTTAAGAAGAGGCTTTGTTAGAGATTACGGTTGCAACATATACATGGATATACTGTACATGGTCTAGCAAAACCATGTACGGTATGCAGTATGCATGATGTGCCACAGGTAAAGCAGTATTTGTCACAACTCAAGCTTCACAACCTTCTAAATAATTTTTAGGATGACAACGTGACGTGTTCACTAACATGGCTAAGAAACCGTATGTTCATGTCAGTTTCTTTGAAGTACATGTTCAAACTTACGCTCACATGCACAAATCCATAAAAGGGCAAAAGGTTATTCATGAGTTGCTGCACAGATTGTGAAAAATGTCTTCTGACACGTAAGAACTCTCATGAACTATATGTATAGGGTGGGTAAGGTGGATGCTGTCAGGTTGTAACCGTGTGATGTGGATTTGTTCTGACAGCGTGGTAAGGCCAGTTCACAGTGGTGTTGGGAAGGTTAGTCTTTTTTATATCAACCTTGAGAATCACTTTTCGCCTTTTAAACTATTTCTTCAGTATGTTTGAGAATGTCAGTGTGTGTACTTCAAGCTTAGAAATACTGTCGCTTATTAATGTGTCATGCCGGTTTAGATTGCATTTGGTCAATATGCAGCTCTCGGAGCTAATTGATTTTAGTTTAGGGCAGTGGTGCCCAAACTCTTTCCTATATATCAAGGTTTATTACAAAGTTTCCATCAATTGTTTCGTTGTTTGTTTAAAAATAAGTAGAAAACATTACTTTAAACATATTAGCTAATCTATTATATATATATATATATATATATATATATATATATATATATATATATATATTTTTTTTTTTTTTGACATTTTATAGTTAACTAATTATAGTGAAAACATGAGAATTCAATTTTCTATTTATAACATTATGGAGTTCAATGCTGAATACACTAGTCAAGTTGCACCCACCTTCATTTACAACCTTTAATTGAAACATTTAATTATTTTATTTTATTTTTTTGCTTGTAAAATAAAAGCAACAAATGAAAAGTTACATTAAATTAAAAATTACAGTGTGTATAAAAAACTATTAACCCCAACCCTCCACCATGTTCTACTTCTCTTCTCAGATAAAATGAAGATGGGCCAAATCAAAGGTTACAATGGGCCAACTTTGGCCTGCGGGCCCTAGTTTGGGCATTGTTTGTGGGCCCTCTGGTTTAAGGACATTGCTGTTTTACATGGTCCATTTATAGTACCATCCTCAGTTAATTTAATGCTTGCAAAACACTTATCCATTAAGTTGCAGACCGTGGGCTTTTAAGTCTGAGAACACATTAAAAATATGTGATTTATTTATTTATTTATTTATTTATTTATTTATTA